AGGCCGGAAGCGGGGCGAGCAGGGGGGGCGGAAGGGGAAATCGCGGAGAGGGAGGGGCGGGCCCGGAAGGGGCGTGGCCTGCATTCACGGTCTGCGCCCGCGCCGGGAGAGGCAGGTGGTTGCGCGGCGGAACCCGGTGGCCTGCCGCTGGTGGCTCGCGCAGCTCGTGGGGAGCGGGCGCGCGCGGGCGCCGAGGGATCGTGTGGGACGGGAGGGCGAGGAGGCGGCGGGGCGCCCCCGACGCGCGGTGTAAAGTGCGGAGGGGCGATGGCCGCGCGCACCGTGGGGACGGGGTGGCAGTTGGAAGGCGGGTGCTGAAGCCTTGTCTTGGGCGGCAACACTGAGTTTGAGGCGAGTTAAAATAAAGGGTAACCATGATAACCGTTCGCGGCTTTATACCCGCATGCGCGTCCGGCGCCGCAGCCTGGAGTGTGCGGGGAGGTCTATGTGCCGGCGGCGCTCCCGCGGGCACCTCCGGAGAGCCGGCGGCCCACCTGGGCGGCCGGCGAAGGCCCCTGCCGGCTTCCGCCTTCGCGGGCCCTGTGGGCTACCGTGGGCCGCTGACCAGACATTCGGTTTAGTCCTACTGTCCAAATGCACCAGGTGCAATTTTGTTTCCTGCCTTTAACTTCGGAACACACCTTTGGACTGTCGGGTTTTGCGGATTTTTTGACCATGGTCATTAATTCACTATTTTTCTGCCACACACACACACACACACACACTGTGGAGGACTCTAGTTCCATGTTTCAGAGCTTTGACCGGCCTCAGCAATCCTGTGTAATAAAGGCAGATGTGAATTTAGGGGGAGACCAGTAAATACACCCTTTATCTGAACCGGGGCTCAGAACCAATAGCAACAGGACCGGCAGGCAGAGGAAACTGAATGCCAGCGTAGTGATCACTGCTAATGGCACCGTGGGAGCACACGACTTAGGCACAAAACGCACCCACCCTCCAACGTGGTGCCCAGTTCAGTGCCAGGTCTCCTAAAAGCCTCACTTAAAGCAAACAGTTACCAGGACACATGTAATTGGCACAGCATGGGCCTTCATCCACAAAATTCAGAAAGCAGGCCAATCCCCAGTTCCTAATAGATAAGAGGCAAAATTTTGTCCTTAGAAAACTCTCAAAAGACCCTGAAACGTGGTGTTACCTGAGCCAAGGTGAACAGGCTGACAAAGTTGATTCGGTGTTTCTGGGACTCAAGTGGGTCTGTAGATAGTACTTCACATGGTTCCGCATTCTCGCAGTGTTATTTTACAGTCGTCACAGCCCCCCAACCAGGGCTTCTTAGAGATGTATTTCTTTTCCATCCAACATGTTCCTATTTCTTAGTCCCATTTCACCTTTGGGTCCTGTGTTTCTGGCACCCCAGGGCTGCATTGAGGGTGAGCTCTTAGAGCACAGCTTTCCCTGTGCGCAGTGTTCAGTGGCCCCTGCCTAATGCTGGGGGTCGCAGGCCTCCTTGAGGAGACAGGGTTCATTTCTTAAGAGACAAATTGATAAGTGAAACAAAACATCTCAAGGCAAAGTTACAAAAGCAGCAGCCAGTTGTCTTCTGTTCCTTTTTGGGTTTTAATTCTCCTGAGTGCAGCCTTGGGAGGGGTTGCCTGTTAAGGCAGAGGTAGACTCCCCTGCCTGAGGCGGGGCCACCATGGCACCCTGTGGGGCTGCAGGCTCCCCGTTGTCCTTCACACAGACCCGCAACTCCAACAGTCAGGTCCGCAGCAGAACCTGGCATCCCTCTCTGCAGTGTCTCCTGAAACCCTGTTACAGTGATACCAGCCCCTCCCTCTCACTCCAACTTGGGATTTCAATGGGAAATAGCCTGGCCTGTCTGTGACCATCATATGTAACTTCCACGGACGTGTAGGTTGTCTTCGGGGTCTTGCGATGCCAAGAGTGCTGCAGGGGCCGACCTTGGACACCTATAGTTTTGTGCACCAGATGTGTCTTTTGAGTAGCAGGGTTGAGGCAGGGATTACCAGCTGGAAAGGAAAGTGTATACATAGTTTTGTTGGGCATTTGCCAGCTTTCTCAGAAGGGTCATGCCAATCTGCATGCCCAGCAGCAGTGTATAGGACCACCTGTTACTTGTGACTGTCCCAAATTTATTCTGTTCTTGATTTCTGATTTCAGTGTGTTGTGGTGGGAGAACATATTTTGTAAGATTTCAGTCCTTTTAAATTTATTGAACATTTTTAATGGCCCAGGATATGGTCTGTCCCGGGGAACATTTCATTCACATTCCTGAGAAACACGTGCATCCTGCTGTCGGGTGGTGCCCCAGAAGCCGGGCGAGTCCTGTAATGTCCATATGGGGGCGGTTATGCCGAGTCTTCACTTCCTTTTGATCTGCCGAGCTGTTCTCTCCATTATTGACAATGGAATGCTGAATCTCTTCAAGTATGTCAGTTTTGCTTCATGTGTTTTGGGGCTCTATTTTAAATTTCAAAAATGTTTATAGCTAAATGTCTTCCTGATAGATGGACTCTGATCACTATAAAACATCTTTGTCTCTAGTAACCAGGCCTGTCTGCACTGTTCTGCCTGCTGTCAGCATAGCCCGCCTGGCCTGCCTGTTTGGTTTCAGCACTCTCTACATCCCTTTACTTTCAGCCGTGGCATCTTAGAATCCAAGACGTGTGTCTTGTCAACAGCATCTAATTTATTCCATTTTTATCCTTTCTGCTGATCTCTGCATTTGAGTTCATTGTTTGACCCATTTATGTAATTATGGGCAGGGCAGATTTTCCTCTGCCTTTGCTGTCTGTTTTCTGTCGTATATCGTATATCCTTTCTGTTCCTCCACTGTTGCCTCTCATGTGTGTTAAATATCTTTTAATTATTTTCTTAGTGGTTTCCCTGGGGATTACAGTTAGGATCTGAACCCATAACAATCTAGTTCACGTTCACACCAGCTTAATCTTTGTACCACACGAATGGCTGATCCTGTGTAGCTCCACATCCCTTCTCCCCTGGGGCTTGTCGTCACACAAACTTCCTGACGGGTTGTGTGCAGGCTGTGTGGGAGCCGATGGGACCTGACCAACAGCAGTGTTTTCCCGTGAAACACCACCTCCTGCATTTTCAGCCTCTTACCTGTGCAGACGTCGCCAGGACTGTCATTCCCAGGGAGAGGCACATTCACACTGAGTGGACAGTGCCATCGGTCATAAAAACTTTTCTCTTTAGAATTGTAGGAGCTCTGTGCTGCGTGGGACCTTGACAAGATAAGTCAAATGATTCTTAATTCTGGTTATGCTTCCGAACTCCTGAGTGGGGGAGGTTTTTTATTATTAATGCTGGTTGCCTGGGGTTCATTTCAGACTTATGACAAAAATCTCCTTCTATTCATTTTTTTATGCTGTTACCTAAGAAGTGAGAAGAAGTCCGAGTGAATGACAGACTCCTCTATCAGTACGAGCCGTGCTAAGTAAGTGTCCCTACCTATGTGTTGCCATCAGCCTGCAGCTTACAGTTTTGGGAAAGTGGAAGACACATCAGCACGGATTTCTTCATCCTTCCTCAGGTTAGTGTGTGCTCACGTTCCTGGGGCCAAGACTGTATGCTTTGTGCAGGGTTCAACGCGGTTCCCGCCAGCAGAGCACCCCCCCCAGGAGCTCGTGGAACCGAGGCAGCGCTTGGAGGGTGTTTAGGAGCTGTGTTGTGGCCAGGCCTTACTCCACGTGCGGTGCTAAGCTTTCCTTGGATAAAGTTCTGAGTCTCTTGTGTGGCATGGCTGAGGTTTCTCAAGCCAGATCCCCGTGCGCTGAAAGCCATGTTGCCACACGACCAGACTCGACGGGGAGGGCTAACGCCCCAGGTCATCAGCACTGCTGCCCCAGGGCACCTGCCCCTCGGTTAGGCTTCTGTGCGCCTTTGCTCACAATCTGTCCGACAGAGGGCGCCCGTGGCACACATCATGCAGTTGCGGGAAAAGAACAGAACAGCAGGTATGTATTTTTAACAGACTTATTATCTAAGAAATGTTTGCCCAGCAGGCTTTGCGCTGAACATCGCGTCCTGAAGGAGCAAATCAGGGAGTCTGATCCAGCGCTAGACCGATCGCTGGGTTGACTGACCGCTGATTTCCTCTAGCCCCTGAGCTCTCCTTAACGGGCACACCACTGTGTTTCTTTGATCGTCTGTGGATGCAGCAAGTTTTGTAATTCTTTGTAGCAGGTTTAGGAGTTTTTCTGCAAGAGACATCAAATTTGGGAAAATTAAGAGAAAAACTGCCACTCAGTTAAATATTCCCACCCTCCTCCTGCAGGAAGAACGCTAAACAATGAATCTTGGCGGATTCTGACAGCAGTGGCAAGGAGCCGAGGCACAGAGGGGAGCCCGGATGTGTCGGGCCAGGCCCCAAGGGGCGGAGGGCGGAGGGCAGAGGCTGGGGAGCTGATGCGGGCTCTCGTCTGTGCAAGAGGTCCCACCACGGTCACCACCTTCCCTGGGTGACAAGCAGTACCTCTCTGCTTTGGCACATGGCTGTGCATAGCAACCACAATTCATTCGTTTGTGCATTCACTCACTCCCGTCTCCTCACAGCAAGCCAACCATTTTAATGAGTTCTTTGTGCATGTGTTTATGTGTTTTTGTACAGGACAGACACTGTCTTTCATTTAGTTCACTTCGTGGTGCCGTGCCACGGGTATTTTCCACGCCTTGCTCTTCCTCCGAGGGCGGTGCTTTGAAGTCCCATATTGCTGAGTGCACTCCTGGCTTGGTCAGAAGGCTGCGTGGAACTCTGTGGTGATGCCCTCAGGGTTTCCCCATTGGATTTGTGACTAGCCTCACCGAGGCTGTGCCTGGGCCAGCCACCTGCGCCCAGAACGACACCGCAGTGAACACGTCACTTCACAAAGCTGGGCTTGGAAGTGCTGGACCCTAACATATGTGTGTATTTAATTCCTTTGCGTAAAAAGTGGTAGGTTGCCCCTCACAGTGGCTGTAACTCTCCAGTGTCACCGCAGACCATGCGAGGACAGTCGTCACCTCATGGCCAGCCATCTGACTCTTGCTAGTATAACAGGTGCAAGTTGCCATCTCTTTGTTTCAGTTTGAATGTGGCTATTCGTGAGCTTTTGAACATCACTCTTATGCTGACCAGTTCTTGGTCTTTCTTCTATAAAACCATAGCCTCTACCAGTTTCCGGCGGCTTGATGTGTATTGTGGCTTATTTGCATGTGCATCCATGTTGCCTGTAGGGTCCTCAGCTGACTACTAACTTACCCACAGCACCCCTCAGTTATCAGGCAGGGCTCTTCAATCCAGTCGGAATATCGTCTGGGAACAAAGAATAATTTAGGGAAAACTGGCACAGGTAAAATCTAGAACATGGACTCTGTCCATTTATTCATATGATCTTAAATAGTCCTTGATTATAAAGTCTTATAAAGTTTTCTTTTTGGGAGTCTTGAGTATTCATAGTTAATTTTGAGAGACTTCATCGTTTTTGTTTCTATTTCTAATATTTTTTTGATATTATCTTCCAGTTGAGTGTGACTGCTGTAAAGAAAAGTTACTGATTGTGTGGGTTGATGGTGCATTCAGCAGAATTTCCAAACCCTCTTAGGAGTTTGTGATTCAGCCACCTCTGGGATGATGATTACAGGATCTTCATTTTTGCCTTGGGCAGACTGAAGTGCCGTTGAGTAAAAGACAGAAATGGGAAGGCTGGGGTGGAATAACGGATTCACTATTTGCTCAGTCCAGGTGCTTTGCATGGCAGGTCAGCGGTCTTCCAGCTGGTGGCTCAGGAGCAGGCTTTGTGGGGATTGGTTTTGTGTGCCCACTTGATTGGGCCATGGTGCCTGCAAACTGGTCATTGTGAATATCTATCTGTGTGAAGGTATTTTTGGATGAGATTAACACTGAAGCCAGTGGTCTCTGAGTGAAGCAGATGGCCCTCCCCAGTGTGGGCGGCTGCAGGAAGCCAACCGACTCTGCCTGCCTGATGGCACAGCCCAGGAGGCCGTGGACGGATACCGCACAGCGGGCCTCCAAGGGGAAGGCTACTGATATATCTTCTGTTGCTTAATTTGACTATTCCCCTAGATTCGAACAGCCCTCGTGAATCAGAAAAAGCCCCTAGAGAAAGGACTGTTAGGAGCTGTAAAGCAATCATAAAAGTCAGCCTGTGCCCCTGCACATTCCTGTCAGGCCAGTGGGTTATTGTCCCTGGGTTGGGAAATAGAAGAAAGTTCGGGTGACTTCAGGGTACAACTCCCCAGCCAGCTTGGCCCCCAGGAGAAACAGAGGTGACCAACATGGTTTGTGGGTCAGTAGAACAGGTGGGATAATCTTGGTAGAGTTCCCTTAAGAATCATTACTATAGAAATCACGGTAAGCATTGTTACCGTCAGCAGAGTGAGCGCTGCTCTTTCTACTGTGAGTGGTTTCGGGGAACTAGGAAACAACACGCCCCACAGCCAGCCTAGGTGGGAGTCCGGCTGAGCAAGTTCTAAGACCCATTCAGAAAACAGTGTGGTGCCTTGTAGAAATTTAACCTGAGATTAGAATCTAAAGGTATGAGAGCAACAGAAAAATCTTGAAGAAGAAAACATGACCTTTCATGGTTGGGAAAGCAGGGGAACATTCCGAGAAGTAGATTGTGCCATAAATCACTGAATGACACGTGCCTTATGATTTTATGATGATTTCATGTAACCAATCCCTTCTATCTTGCTTGAGGTTTCTGAATAAACAGGCCAGGCCAGCTTAGCATCTCTGCCAGTGTCTGTGTTCTCACCCAGTCGCCGACGCCGTTCCTCCTCCGGGGACCCCTGGACTGACTGGAGCTGGACTCTGGCAGGCGGCCTCATCCGGTCAGCCGAAGGCCCGCAGAGAACAAAGGCCAACCTGCTTGAGCAAGAAGCAGTGCTGCCTGCACACAGCCCTCGGACACCATTCTGTGGACATCCTTACGTTTAAAAGTGTCTCTTTGGAGGTACGAGTTTGAAATGCATTAAGACTAGAGGTTTATTCGACAAGGGCTGTGGTTCAGACATAAAAGGAGAGCGTCCCGCAGGATTTTCTATGAATTAGCCAAGGTCAGAAGGATCTGACAGAGGTGGAGACCATATGCGGTCTCTTCAGAGTCACCCAAATCACGGAAGTGCCTAGAAGTCTTTACGATTTCTCATCAGCGGGGCTAGAGAGCGCTCAGTCACAGACCTCCCCCAGCTGAGCGATGATGCCGGCCTGTAAATCGGAGGAGCCTTGTGACCTTGCGGTTGATTCTGCTCAGAAGGTAGTTATAAAATGATTACAAAGTTACATAATTGTCCTTCTACCCGCCTTGCTTTCTATCTTATTTCCTCTTCCAAGATGATTTGTCCCAGTCCCGTTTCCATGCCATGCAATGTGTGATGGTCTCTGACATCAGCTGAGTTCTTGCTTTGGCCCTATGACCCTAAAGTCAGAGACACAGTGACTAGATCAGGGCCAAGCTCTGGTCCAGCCACTCTCAGAACAACCTTCCATGTTCCAATGTCTTCTGCCAATACCCTGGGCATGGCATTGAAGAGAAAGTGTGTGGTAGAGGTTCTTTACTGCTGAATTATCAGACCAAGATGCATTTCTTTCCCTATGAGATGTTATTTTTGAGGTGGCTGGGAAAATCTGAACATGAAGTATGTATTAGAAGATGACAAGGAACCAATTAGGTATAATAACAGCATTGTGGGTCTGTAAGGAAAGGTCCACATTGCTTTGGCATTCTCAGGTGTGCAGGAGCTAAGTGACATGGGGTCTGAGATTGTGTTAATACACTTCAATAAAGAAAACAGAGACACAGAAGAATCAAGAAAGGAAATGTGGCAAGCACTTTGCATGTTGTTGAATCTATATGATAGGCATATGGGGCTCATTATTATCTCTAATTATATATATATTAAAAATTTTCATAATGGATATTTAAAACCCTCTACCACAGCAAACTACTGTATGTGGTTCACACCTACAAATGAGAGATAAAAGTGACTTTACTTACACATGGTCCATCATACAGTTTAGTTATGTGAAGCCCTTCATATCTGAAAGAAATTACATTTGAGGTGAGTATTTTTGTTCTATAGTATATCATAAATTGTGACTAAATCTACTTGATAAACTTTAGCTAGGTTTGAGAAGGAAAGAGTCTTACAGTGAATTCTCCTTTAACAAATATTTTAAAATATCTACTATACAGATCTTGTCAAAGAAATTGAATGTTTAAAACATAATCAGTCTTATATCTTACATAGAAAATTCAAAATCTTGAATATTTGAGTAGAAATATAGAGTATTAGGAAGAAAATGTGAAGTAAAGTTAAAGTATGCATTTGATTAAAATTAAGTCATTACTGTTGGCCTTACAGAAATAAAGTTGATCACAAGGGAATACTATGAACAATTGTGCATCAACACATTAGATAACTTAGATGAAATAGAAAAAATGCTAGAAACACACAAATTACCTAAACTGACTCAAGAAGAAATAGAAAATCTCAACAGATGTATATATCAAGTAAAGAGATTGAATCAGTAATAGAAAAACCTAATGAAGACAGCTTCATTAGTGAATTCTACCAAATGTTAAAAGCAGATTTGATACCAGTCCTTTTCAAACTCTAATAGAAGAATACATCCTAATCATTCTATGAAACAAGAACTACCATGACAGCTAAGACAGAGACATCACACACAAAAAAACCACTGCAAACCAATATCCCTATGAATATAGATGCAGAAATTCTCAATGAAATAGTAGCAAACTGAATCCAATAGCACATTAAAATCATTACACACCATGACCAAGAGAGATTTATCCCAAGAATGCAGGCTGGTTCAACCTACAAACATCAACCAATATAATAACATCATATTAACGGAATGAAGGGGGGAAAAGACTGTTCATCTCAATTGACATAATAAAAACCCTCAACAATATTCAACAAAATCCAACATGCTTTCATAAGGAAAAAACTCAGAAAACCAGGGACAGGAGGGAACTTCCTCAACATGATAAAGAACATTCATGAAAAACACACAGCTGATATGCTCGGTGGCAGAAGATGGAAAGACCAGGAACTGAGGCTGACGCCCGAGTCGGTCACCTCCTCTCCTCTGGGTGCTGGTGTGAGTTCTGGCATGCACGCAGCCGGGAATGCAGGGGTGTCAGTCCTACACAGCCAACGTGTTCGTCTGACCAAGACTGTCATGCCTTCTCTTAGGGAGAAGCTGAGAAGAGGAAGGGAAGACAGTTTTGCCCGCTCTCCTGTCTGCTTTTCCTCTCTCAAGTTATTGGTCTCAGTCTCTAATCTCAGTTACCAAGGGTGTGGCTGTTCTCCTTGAAGGAGAAAGCTGGTGTGAGAGACCCCACCCTCCTCTGTCAGATGGCTTCCTTGACGACAGCCTCTGTGCCCCACTGTCCCCCTATGGCCCTACGATCGGGCATCTTGCATGGGTGTCACCCAAAGCTCCCTGGTGGCCCAGGCTGAGCCACGCAGCTACAGCACGGAAGCTCAGAGATGTGAAAGAAGCTAAAGCAAGTTGTTTGGGGGCATAACATCCACTCAGGGATCAGTGAACTGCCAGCTGGGGAGCTGCTTCACCCAGTGCCCCCTCTTCTCTCTCCAGCTCTTCTGAGGGGGCTTGAGGGTGACCCTCATCTGCGTCACCGGATCTGAATGGCTGTGGCTACTTGCAACTGAGTTCATCCCGCTTGGCCCTTGACTGGGCCTCACACAGCCTCACCTCAGGGGTTTCTGCTCCACAGTGTGTGGATGGATCGCTCTGGGGGCACAGGGAGGGAAGGAAGGAATGGGGGAGCAAACCGGGGAGGTGCCTCCGGAGGGATGACGGGTAGGAAGCCTGAGGTCAGTCCTGCCTTGGCCGCCACAGCCTTCTGACTCGAGATCAATAAAGTTGAGACTTACAGAACTTTGGAGCAGTGATGGCATTGGCCACTGTAGGTGACCTGGTCGCTGCCACATACAGCTCACTCGGCTGGGTGCAGGAGAATGGCCAGCACTCATTTATACTGACATGTTCTGCCTGGAGGAGGTGCGAGGCTGGGTGGGGTTGGGAGCCCTGGGCGGGAGGCTGCACAACCCCAGCGCCTGACCTCAGCCCCTCGCCAGCAACGACATAAGTGTGGTAAGTGTGGCGTGCGTGACTACTGCGGTACAGAGCAACTAACGCTGCTGACATCAACATACATCCTAATAAGATGGGTAATCTGGAGACACCCCTGTCTGAGCTGTAAAGTCCTGATGATGAAAATCCCTCCCCTACCAACTGAAAAATGTGATTCTTAGTTTACAGAGGGTAAAGTGTCTTTAAGATTAGAATTCCCTTGTGGAAATACTGAGCCACTCGTATGTGGTGCTTCAGGCCTCAGTGGGTTCGAATGTGTCCCAGCAGAGGTGGGGCACAAGAGGAAGGGGCAGAGAGGATGCACCATGGGCCTTGGCCTGCAGGCAGGATGTGCCTCTTGGCACTTCTGCCTGGAGGAAGGCCACGGTGGCTCAGGACAGGCCTTGAACCACAGCCTCGCCGGGCATGTGGTGGGGCAGGATACGTGCCTTCTGTGCCAAGGGAGCTGGGAGGGCACGCAGGGAGAGGGCTCAGAGACATTCCGTGGCGCTGTGTGCTGCACAGAGGTGGAGATCCGGCATTTACTGTGGTGGTGCCGGTCAGGCCTGCCGGCTCCTACCCACCAAGAGAAAGGGCCAGGCTCCTAGGGTCACGTTTTCTCCCCATCCCTGTCCTCGGGAACCAAGGAAGCAGCTCGCCTGTGTCTCTGCTAGGTGGGCCCCTTGGCCCGCAGGAAGCAGGGAGTGTGGAAGACAGAAGCACGTCCAGAGAGCTGCCTCTGTCTTCTGCCCGCAGGGGAGGCTGTCCGCCCTCGCGCACGCCGCCTGTGCACCCCCTTCATCGGGTAACACAAGAGGGTGGTACCGGACCATCCACGGCACGGAGTGGCTGCCGGGATCCTCTGCTGGCTTTGGAAAGGCCTCTAAGTCACAAATGAGCAGGAAGTAGTTAATGTTGCAACACCTTAGAAGACGCTGGGTCTGCTCCTCAGCTGTCTTCTCCGCACATGGAGTGTCCAGTCTGCCAGCAAGCTGGGGCGAGGGCCACGGGGGCCCCACCGCTCTCGGCCTGCTGATCTTGGGCATGGCCTCTGCCCCACAAGGGGAGCTGAGTGGAAAAGATGCCCCCGGCCTCCTGGCCTTGCTGTCCTGGGATCCAGCCTCAGCCTCACAGAGCTAGGGGCCTGCCCCTCCCCGGGAGCCCCACTGCCCTTGACTGTGAGCTGGGGAGGGGGGAACCCCATCTTCCCGCTGCCTCTGCCCTGAGTGGGCTTCACATGTAAGACGAGCCCGGAAACGTGTGTTAGCACCTCACGTGGACACGATGCCTCTCTCCGACCACTGCACAGCCCTCTGTGAGGCCACATAACCAGTGTCCAGCCCAGTTTCTGGCCGGGGGTCCACACTGGCACATGTTTATTGTAAACCAGCAGCTGCTGGGTGACCCAGCACGGCAGCGAGGCCCGAGCCAGCCCCGCGGACACAGCAAGAGGTTTGCCCTGAAAAGGCCGACTGGCCACACGAGGCAGGGAACAGGGACCCGGTCTCGGGGAGCAGTGCCCACGGCCTGCGCCGAGGAAGGGTCACCGCTGCGGGGAGCACGGCCTCGGGAAGGTAAGGGGGGGGCCCCGCCGACCATGTCCAGGCCTGGCCCGCAGGCAGCTCCCCTCCACGGGGCAGCCGAGGGCTTCTGCGCCGGAGGGGGAGGCACGGAGAGCAGGTTTTGTCGCCGGGTCCCTGAAGATGTGCAAAGCCTGAGCCAATGTCCTGGGTCCGGGGGGCAATGACACAGCCTCTACCCGGGGGGACCCCGAGGCCACTCCCGCAGAGCCTTACCGGGTTCGTTCTGGGCTTGAAAAATGTGAATACACAGACCCCGGAAATGGTCGTTTCTGAGGGCCGAATGCCCTGGACGGTGCCCGGGCGCCCCGAGAGGCTCCGGTCCTGGATTCGAGTCCAGCTGCAGCGCCTGGGACACCGCGGAGCCCCCTTTCCCCGGGCCTCGCCTTCCACACGGGGGAGCTCACGGTTTACAGTCCTACGTCATTTCTTTTTCTCCGCGAGGATTTTCATTCTGGCTCCCCCACTTCGCACGCGCTGCTTTGTTATGGTCCTTTACTCACCATGCTTTTCTACTTTTCTTCAACGGAAATATGCAAATGAATTTACTTTTTAAATTCTCTGTGACCAAAGGATACAAAGGACTCATGTGTTTGTCTTGGGTTAACTTAGCGTCACAATTATTATTAGTTCACATTGATCAAACAACACGAATATATTGTAAATTTGGATATTTACACACCTCTTACTGGTTCCAGTCAGGTTCAGGGCGGGCCCTTCATAGTACTTCTTGCTAGAATGTCTCAGCTTCAGCATCGGTTATGTTTTTATTTATTTTCACAGATAAACACACTGAAAAATCATGTTCATGCTGAGCAAACAGACGGGAACTGAAAGCGTCTTAAGTCAGCGCTGTCACTGAAGTCTTGGAAGTCCTTCCAAATTACACACCAGAGTCTCATGACAGTATCAAAAACAACTTCAGTGATTTATGAGCTGTAGTCTTATATCTCTTTAAATGTTGATGAAATAAGAGAATTAGAAACTACTTGACTTCAAAGGGAATTATGAATTAGTCACAGAGCCAACTCCATGCTGTTTTTAAAAAATGCCCTGTCTGGCTACTTGCAAAAAAATGAAATTGGATTGCTCTCTTACACCATATACAAAAATAAATGGAAATGGATTACATACCTAAGTAGATATAAGATCTGAAACCATAAAACTCTTAAAATATAGGAAGTAAAGTCTTAGACATTGGCCTTAGTAATTTTTTTCTGGATACGTCCCTAGATAAAGGAAACAAAAAATAAATAAAAAAGTGGGACAATATCAAACTGAGATGTTTCTGCATAGCAAAGGATAACATCAACAAAACAAAAAGGCAGCCTGATGAATGGGAGAAGATACCTGTAATCCCAGGAGGCACTAATATCCTAAATATATATAAAAACTCATACAACTCAACACCAAAAACAAATAATCAGATTAAAAATGGGCAGAGGAACTAAAAAGACATCTTTCCAAAGAAGACTTACAGATGGTCACCAGACACATGAGAAGACGGTCATGATCACTAATCCTCAGGAAAATGCACATCAAAACCACAGCAAGAAATCATTTCATACCACTCAGAAAGGCCACCATCCAAAAGACAAGAAATAACGAGTGTTGGAGGGGATGCAGAGAAACAGGAGCCTCCTCCACTGCTGCTGGGAATGTACACTGGTGCAGCCACTGTGGAAAGCAGTATGGAAGTTCCTCAAAACACTAAAAATAGAATTATCATATAATCCAGCAATTCCACTTCTGGGAATTTACCTGAAGAAAACAAAATCCCGAAAAAAAAAAAATGCACCCCAATGTTCAGTGCACCATGGTTTACAATCATCAAGATACAGAAGCAACCCAAGTGCCCAGCAGATGAACGGCTAAAGCAGCTGTGGTACATGTACACAACGGAATATTATTCAGCCACAAAAAAGAAGGAAACCCTGCTATCTGTGACCACATGGGTGGACCTAGAGTATTATGCTCAGCGACATACATCAGAGGGAGACAAATACCATATGATCTCACTTACAATGTGGAATCCTAAAAATAACAAAATTGAAATAGTTTATAAACAGAACAGAACGGGTGGTTGCCTGAGGGGCTGGGGGTGAAATAGGTGAAGTGGGGGAAGATCAGTGAGAGGGTTTGGTATGTCGATCTGGGCGACGGCCACATGAGTGTACACACACGTCAAAACCCAACGAGCTGCACACTTAAGATCTGTGTGTCTCACTGTAGGCACCTCAGTAAAAATAAAATGAGCAAAAGCCCTGTGCAGATCCACCAGTAATTATTAGTGGAATCTGGCTTTTTTTTTTTACCAAGATGCAGCTTGTTCAGCCTGATGTACACAGGAAGTGTCAAGGAAGCTGAAGTGTCATTTTCTGTATATCTTTTCCAGCATAATATTTTAGTGATGTGTTTCACATCCCACGATTCTGTTTTTATCAAAATCTTGCAGCTGCACACTCAGCTTTTCCGACTTAGGGGCAGAGCAACAACATAGCTGATCGGCAGAATGAGTTCTTAGTGTCAAAGTAGCCAAATCCGCCCTTCCTTCTTTCAGGAAAATGTCTGACTTCATTTCGAAATGCAGATGGAACCGGCGGTGCCAGCTCCCCGCGCGGCCGCTGGGGTGCGGCCGGGATGCAGCCCCGCGCAGCACCCGGCCCAGGGGCCGCGCCGGGGCGCAGTGCACCGTGATGCCGAGGGGCCCGTCCTTGGGGCCGCACTCCCGGAGCGGCCCTGGACCGGCCGGGGGGCTTCCTTCCGCGCTGAGAGCCGCCCTTCCTCCTTTCCTGCCGGCGGCTGGGCTGTGGGGAGGGGCGGCCAGCGGGGCAGGCGGAGGGGATGTGGAGGACCAGGACACGAACCTTTTTCTCTTAAACTGGCTGTGCTTGTGTGACGCCCCACGGATGGCTGAACAGCTGACCCCAGAGGGCTTCGGGGGGCTCCACGCAGCAGGGGGTGCGGGTCACACAAAACACAAAAAATTCTGCTTTACATATGCAGAAATGTACAGAAACTCAAGCCACCAGATGTGGGTTATTTCAGTACACCAAGAACCACAGAGGCCCAGTTCTGGGCTCAGTCACAGCCCAGCCGGCGTTTCAGGCTCCCTCTCATCGGGAGTGATTCTCACCAGGAAGACGCCCCTGAGTCCCACCCACCTCTGCCGTTCACTCCATTTGGCAGTTAATTCAGTGAACCCTGTGTATCCTACAGGGATGG